GGAAAGATTGCAACAGTGGCAGATAACAAATTGATCTGGAGGAAATGGCACAACGAAACTCCAGTAAGGACGACAACCTAGTGATTGCAAGGAACCTGACTGTTCACACTTGCTCGAGTGTATCATTTCGCATGCACAAATGTCATCACAGAGATTGAGTAGCTTCACACAGAGCCAAGTCGAGATGAGATGAGAACCAGATAGTGCAGCTTATAATATCAAAATCACATTATACAAGAGTATCTCGAGCTTAAGAGTTCTGCGCCCACAGAATACAAGTCTCTCCCTCCTTCGATCATACACACAGGGCCTGGCTCAGCCAGCGTCTGCCCCAGATCACAAATATGGCGCCAACAGGTAAGTATCCACCCAATCCAACATCCTAACCTGTCTTTTCTCTCTCTCCCTTCTCTCTCAAGACCTTTGTCCTGGTTCCCTTGTCTCACCATGCATGCACACTCCCTGTCTATGAGAATCTACTCTGAATGCAACTCACTGATATCCTACTACTAATCCTCCTACCACTACTAACACAAACTGGCGCAGCTATGGCTTCCCTGCAGCCAGCGCCCAGCCAGCGCTTCTCCCTGCACTATAGCGCATAAGTGCCTCAGCACTTCCACGCATCAATGCCCATGGGAAATCTGCCTTGTGGGGGAGGTTGCCTCGTTCTTTATAGTGCTGGCCTCCCCTTGCGAGGTCTGAATTCAGTCTGTCTTGGGTCCTTTCCCAGTCCCCGCCTCTGTGGAGTCTGTCCCAAATCCTTTTCCTCAGGGGTCACTGATGTTGCGGCCTTCAGGCCTTAATTTCGGACTTTCAGTCTGTACCTAGACTCATCGTTTGACTTGAATCCTGACTGGGACTTTATCTCTTTGACTCCTTTTGAACAGGCACACCTACTGCTCGAGCAGACACACATGCAGTACAAACAGACACACATGCAGTACGAACAGACACATCTCCTGCATGAGCAGATAGATCCTGCACACCCCCTGGATGAACAGATGTGACTCCCACATTTGAATACTGCAACTGTTCGTCCAGGGGCACAAACGTGACCTTTGACATGACTTTTGCTTTAGTTAGGATGTGACTTTTGACCCAGAGAACATGCCTTTTGATCTCCTTTTCACGAGTTGGGCTCTGGCCAAGTGACCCCACTATGCTGCATTCGTAATTTAGGGTCTGAATCGGGTAAAGGCCTTTTTACTCTCGCCGGCCTAGTTTCGAAGTCCTCTGAGAAAAACCTTCATCTGTCTATTATGTTTATTCCTCTTCTTGCTCTTTCATAAGCAGATACAATATGAGGCGCAGACTCAATTAATTCTTCTCTTGTGAACCAGCGATCTTCACTTGATAAACCGTACTTTACATTGTCGCTGGGGTCTGCCTCTACGTCCAGTTTGGAGAGTGCTTTCAACAACAATCTTGTCCACATCATATTTCCCATCCATACTAGGAGGTATCGCCGATCTGCGACTTGGAAACAACTCATTTGTCACGCAAGGTAAGAGCTTTGAGGCGTGGAATACTGGATACGCATGCAAATGTAGAGGAATCTCAATCACATAAGAAGGTCCGTCCACATCTCCAATCACATTAAGGACTTGCCAAGGTCCTCTGTAGGCGGGTAGTAACTTCTGAGAGATGTTCTCTTCAGGAGCAAACTCTCTAGATTTAACCCATACCAAATCACCTACAACAAATTGAGAAGGTCTTTTGTGCTTATTTGCTTGTTCGATCATCTGATGTTACGCCTTTACTATATTTTCCTTCACCTTTTCAATATCTTTCTGATACTGTATCGCAAACTCTCTTGTTCCTAGTGGAAGCTTATGTGCTTGATCCGGATTCAGGCGATCAATAGGTCTATGTGGTTGCCATCCCAAATGCAGCTCCATCGGAGTTTTGCATGTAGACAGGTGAACAAAGTTGTTATAGGCACTAGCAACTTTGGGCAAATGCTCATCCCAATCAATCTGGTCGGGACGTATGTACATACGCAACGTTTGCTACAAAATCTTGTTCACTTCCTCAGTCTGGCCGTTTGTCTCAAGATGTCTACCTGATGACATAGTCAATTTTAAGCCATAGACGTTCATTAATTGCTGCCATTGTTCACTCGTGAACCGTGAATCTCTGTCACTTACAATCGATAAGGGATGTGCATAATCCTTCACCCAATGGTTAAAGAATTCCCGGATTACTAATTCTGTTTTTGCTTCCGCTGGCAATGCTACGAATACAGTATACTTACTGAACCTGTCAACGATGATCATGCCTTGCGTCTTTCCATTCCTGCTTTTTACCTTGGTGTCCATAAAGTCAATGGACACAGAGTCTCCTGGACCTGTTGGAATTGGCAGAGGCTTCAGTAGATCAAGGGGAGGCTGAGTGGTGCTCTTATTTCGTTGGCACACTTGACAACCTTGCACATACGCAATGCAATCGGGTTTTATGCGACGCCAAGTGTCGGAACGCAAAAGATTCGCATAAGTCTTTTGCCATCCAAAATGGCCTTCCGTGTCGTGCACATTTGTTCTTTCAAACAACAATCCCTGTGTAATACGATAGTTAGAAAACTCTTGAGGCGCTTCTTATATACTCTTAATCATCGCGCCGTAAACTGGATATGTGGAATACACACTTTTAATTTTCTCTTGCAGATCGGTGCCTACATCTAGATATGTTACAATGGCACCGAAAAAATCAGATCTTCGACTTAGCGCATCAGCAACAACGTTGTACTTACCCTTAACTAACTTTAGCTCAAAATCATACTGATCAATCTCGGCGGCCCACCTAGTCAACTTAGGTGTCAGCCAGCGAAGTGTCTCGTGATCCGAGTACACTTTGAAGTGGCGTCCTAAGAGATAGTGTCGTCAGTGATCTAGAGCTTCTCGGAGAGCAAACAACTCTCTTTCATACGTAGAAGCGGCAACCTTCTCATTAGGCAGTCGTCGGGACATAAACTCAACAAGCCTGTATCCATTTCCATCGTCCTGTTGGAGTACAACACCTATCCGTATTGACTGGCGTCAGTTGTGACGACAAAGGGCAAAGAAGGATCCGCAACTTTCCAAACCGGATAGTTAATCAAACATTTCTTCAGCCGTTTAAATGAAGTCATACAGTCTGAATCCCACTTCCAGATTGTTTCTTTCTTGAGCAATCTCCGAAGGGGCGCAACGATTATCGTGAAGTGTCTAACGAACTTCCGATAATAGTTGGTTAGCCCAAGGAACGACCGCAACTCCGTCAAAGTGAGGGGGTTAGGCCGATCGCGTATTGCTGCAATTTTTGTATCTTCCAGTTTGATACCATCACCATCAAGCACATGCCCCAAACACAAAACCTGACGCTTTCCCAATCACACTTCTTTGGGTTCAACTTCAATTTTGCCTCACGCAATTTATTTAGCACAAGTCGAAGGTGCTCGCAATGTTCATTCAAATTCTTACTAAAAATCAGAAGATCATCAAGATAGACAACAACAAATTTGTCAAGCCATTGACGAAAAAGCTCATTTATTGTTCTTTGGAAGGTTGCAGGTGCATTAGTAAGACCGAAGGGCAACAGAATGAACTCATAGTGTCCGTACCTTGTTCGAACGACAGTCTTATACTGGTCCTCTGGCTCTACCTCAATCTGATGGTAGCCAGACTTCAGATCAATCTTAGTGAAGTACTTGCAACCCTGAACTCTATCCAAAAGATCGTCAATCCTTGGTAATGGCTCAGCATTCTTTACAGTGATTTCATTAAGTCTTCTATAATCTATACACATGCATACACCGCCATCTTTCTTTGGCACGAAAAACACCAGCGCACCATAGGGCGAGGAGCTAGGTCTTATCCACCCCTTTTCCAGCAATTCATCAAGCTGGGTTCGCAGTTCATCCAACTTTTTCGTTGACATTCTATAGATAGCCCCTTTAGGAATCTGACTTCCTGGGATGATCTCAATGCGATGTTTAATAGGTTTGTCAACTATACTGCATGAGGCCTCTGCCACATCTGCGAATTCTTTCAGAATCCTTTCGACTTCTGGGGGGTTAGCCTCTTCCTTAACTTCACCCTCTTTAACTGGGCGCACATATGCAACAAACACTTGATCATATAGATTATATTTCCTTACATGGCGGGCGAACACGGGGGCACTCATACAACAATGAGCCAAGCTTCTTTATTTCCCTGATTCATGAAACAAGCGGATTTTGTTTTTCCCACCTTGTGGACTTGGAAGCCAGCACTCATGGTCCCTTAACTTTATGTCCGCATCTGCAGCTTCACCACAATCTATGCCTGAAAGAATGTCAAAAGGGAGATTATCTTCCACCAAGAGAGACGCGTTCCACCTTCCCCTCTGTTTCAAGCCGGAAGTATATCTTGACCCCTTTAACATTTCTATCCATTACAGTTTTAGTACTATTAGCTAGTTTACTCATTACGGGCTCATCTAAATGTTAAACCTTAAGCCCAAGACGCAACTTCTTCAACCCTTTCTTGCTTATATAGCTGCGAGTTGATCCACTATCTATCATTCCTCCAACTCGTACTTTATTCACTTCGAGATCTGCAATTATTAACTGTCCTTTACGTTTCTTCATCTCAGTCCACGCTTGGTGACGAGCGGCCAACCCATCACCCATGCCAGCAAGGGATCCACCTAGAGAGGTGCACACACTTACTACCTCTGGACAATGTACTAGATGGGGACTGACTTCCTCTTCAGTTTCTGCCAGCGGAACCTTCGGATGGGAGGATGTCTTTCTTTCTACATCCGAAGTTCCCGTAGAGGCAACTGAAACCCCTACTGGTTGTCCCCTTTTGGTTGTTTATAATCGGGACAGAAGGGAACGATGTGGTTGGTGTCACCACACTTGAGGCATTGGTCGACAGCCTTCCTATCCTACCAAACTTTCTTTGTAATCCCCAATTTCTTTCAAGGCTCCCCTTCGGGCAAACCTGGACGGGGTGGATATAGTTTGTCCCACGTACCATACCATGCGCCTCTTCCTCTTCCCCAGGTGGAGTACGAACCACGACCACCTTGCGAGGGACCCTTGCCCCTTCCACCCACGTAGTAGCTACCTTCGCCCCCCCCCCTCTGGGTACCGGGTCCTCTTCCACCACGTCCGCGGCCTCCTCTTCCTCGGCCACGTCCTTTTCCTTGTCGCCCTCCCCCGCGGGCTGCAACGACCGCGTACTCCCCCTCCTAAACTACCGTGTCGTTGGGTCCTCCATCCAAACCATAATCTATTTGGTCATAGGAAAGAGTTTCGACACCTCCTTCTTCAAAGGTCAGAAGGAGGTTGTCTTTCCCAGGTATATTCCCTGAAATTGTGCGGTTCTGCCACTTCTTTCCCGCTTGCAAATCTTTCCAATAATGGCAGTAATTAGCTTCAGCCAAGAAGCCAGCACGATTTATAGCGATCTTGCTGAACTTCTTGTACGTCATCCCCTCTTCCTTCGTGCGGGGATAAAGTTGAGTACGGAGAGGGTCAGGAAGTGCCCTTGCGAAGTTGTTGAGGATTTGTGTAGGAGTTAGCCCATGTTTTGCGCATTGCAAGAGTTCATCCATCGTCGCCTTGAGTGCAGATGCACTCTTCCATTTCCGATCTGCGATATTTAAAATTAGCATTTCTATCCGACGAGCCAGATTCTTGTCTTCAAATCGTTCTCTGACAGCTTTAAAGAAGTCTTCAATTCTAGTTTGTTGTGATTATGCAATCATAGTATCGCAGTTAGCTTCCTTTTGCAACGATATAGCGAAGCTCATCGCATCGCTGACCATGCATGAAGTGGCCATCAGAACTCTATCCCAATAAGGTATGCGCTGACTTCTAGTGTATGTCCACGACACTCTAAACTTTATTTTTCTTACATCAGTGTCTTTATTTTCCCGCAACACTCACTTTCCTTTCCTGTCACCATCTCCCCCATCTTCGTCTCCATCTCCTCCTCTGCCACCGCTGCCCCGAACTATCTTATCAATCACGGCGGGAGTAAAGGTTTGGTTGATGTGATCATCTAATTTCTGAATATATGATTGAATATGCTGATCAACATCTTTGGCGGATATTTGTAGAAAGGTATTCCAAATTCCTTCAAACTCGTATTGGTGTGTTTCCACTTTTTGCAAGGTTCGGTTCATTGCTGCTACCTCTTGTTTGGTATGAAGGACTGTTTCTGTTAGAAGGGCAAGCTTCTCGTCGGTTGCAATCTGTTTATCTTTTTGCTCTTGCAACTCTCTCTGCAATCTTGCACCCTTTGCTTGCAACCTTTTCCTCTCATCAAGTTCTTGCCGCTTTGCTGCTAACATTTTACTATGCAGCTCTGCACGCTTTTCCTCAAGCATTAGGTCCCTTTCTTTCTGGTTTGTAACAGTGGCCAGTCTCGCAATAAACACGTCTCTTTCTTCCTGTGGCGGACCCACCAGGTGTGGTGCTCCGCCAGAGATAGAGATGGAGATGGAGGAAGAAGGGGGAGCGAGATGGCATAGCGCAACTCCCACGCCAGACTCCAACGCACGTACTCCAAACTGTGCGAACGCAATATGATTGAAAAATAGACAACAATTGGGGTATACCCTAGCGGACTGGACTGGCTGGTACCGACCGAGGTACCGGCCTGCACTGGACTGCCCCGAACACAACACAGGCCTGTGAGAACAGGCCAAGGGGCTGGTCTCACAGGCCAACCAGAGGTCCGCTACACGATCCTCGACCTCTGATGGATCTCCTAGATACAAGCACGCTTCCGCAAAGAAGCGGAATTCTACCAAAGAAAAAGAAAACCTGAGTAGTCTAGGATGCGGAGCAAGCTCCATGCTGAGTCCATGTGATGCAACCTAGAATAAAAAATGTCACAAAAACAACAATGTCACAACTAACAACCGAAGTGAAAGCAAAAGCAACTAACTAGCATACATGTCCTAGGAAAGCAAGAAGTAATGACAACTAGGTCCTAGAATGTTGGAGGCAGTAGCCTCAGTCTGGAAACAACTGACTAGTGTATAAGTCCTAAGAACAGCAAAAGCAGAACAACTAAATCCTAGAAATATCAGAGGCAGTAGCCTCAGTCTGAGAGCAACAAAGCAACAGCACGTCAACCATAAGTCGCATGAGGAGTGTGTCGCAAACCAAAGGGTGGGATGGTCTCTGAGGGTGGTGAATGCAGCCTACGGGTCGATAACTCCTAAGGGCATCCACACATAGTGACAGGGGGAACACATGTCATCAGGATCAATGAGGGTAGGGAACTGGGAGCGAACAGAACCAATGACCCTAATAGATAGACCATCAGGGCGGGTAATGCTCGACTAAAGGGGTAACCACTATGGACGGTCAACCATGCAAGGGAACAAGGGAGCCTGGTATACTGGGCGCACCTAGATGAAGCATGCGAGGCTGCCTAACTAGGGCGTGAGGGCCGGCAGAGGGTAGAAAATCTGATGGGTAAGGGAATCATGCAAATGACTCATAAGGTGAGGGAAGTCTGAGCTAGATCCGTAAGCTAGGAAGCCAGGGCAACGCTACGGCCCCGATGCCTATGCGTATACCAAGGGAGAGAGCCCAACTCAGAGGAACCCGGCGAAGGGAGACCATCATGCGACACAACCAGGGTACTGTACAGGGTAAAGTGGTCAGAGAGTGACGACGTCTGAAGTAGGCAGAGCTGATCGTGACGAAGTCCATGAAGCTATCGATGACGTCCATGATGAGAAGTCCGGAATGTCGTCGAGGAAGAACCGCAACGTCGACAACCTGAAGTAGCAAGACTGATGTGGATGGAGTATTGAGAAGTCAAAGACGTGGGAAGGTAAGTCAGAGTCAATCGTCGTATCGAGCAAGGCGACGACGAGTGCGCTGTGGACGCTTAGAAGCATCTAGCTGCTGCTGAAAGTCTGCCTCAGAAGGGGCAGGCTCGACTTCAACGGTCTCCTCAGCGGAGGGAGAAGGAGGAGGGTCAGTGGGCTGAGGGGGAACAGTCGACTTAGCACGACGAGCACAGTCATAGGCACGCACCAACATGCAAGCGTGCTGCAAGTGCTCGAGGGGCTCCCAGGTAGCCTCCTTACCAGGGTAACCCTTCCAACGTACGAGATACTCGACATGGGGAGGGTTGTCGTCGGTGACTCGGCGAACAATGATGTCTGAAACGAGGAACTCCTCGTGGTCGTCCACCATGATGGGTGGAGGGCGCTCGTATGGTCGTCCAACAAAACACTCACATGGTCTACGGTAAGGACGCAGTAACGAGACATCGTGCGCACGAGGCTAGCGTAGGTAGTCGGCCAGCTTCACACGGAAGTTGACCGGGCTAGATGCCGTATCAGAACCGACGGCTTGGAGGATACGGCATGGGCCAAAGAAGCGACGCCGAAACTTGCGAAGCATGTCCGCTTCAAGCTGTAAGTGGCGGGCGTCGATAAGCACATCATCACCGACTTTGAATGGRTGATCCATCCTCGATCGGTTCGCACGTGTGGCCATGCGAGTCTGGGAAGCGGCTATGTGCTCATATGCGGTCTTCATGATCGATGTCATGTGTGCAACCCAATCATCCAGCGCGGGACAACTCGTGTCGGGGTGCATCTGTGACGGTCGAAGGAAGTCTGCGGGAACACGAGGGTGATAGCCGAGGTCGCAATAGTAAGGCGACATCCCCGTGGTTGGCGAGACGGCGTGGTTGTAGGCTATCTCCGTGTGGGCAAAATGGAGATCCCACTGCTGGTCATCACGAACAATCTTTCGGAGGATGTCTCCGAGAGTTTTGTTCGTGATCTCAGTCTGACCATCAGTCTGGGGATGGTAAGACGAGGAGAAGCGGAGCTGAGTATCGTACACCTCGTGGAGTCGTTGCCAGAATCGGCTGGTAAAGCGCGGGTCACGGTCGGATATGATGCTCAGAGGTAAGCCGTGGTCACGCAGGACTCGGTCAAACATGATGTCGGCGACCTTGCGTGCACTGATGGCATAGCGACACAGAACAAAGCGTGCACACTTCGTGAAGCGGTCGACGACGACCAGGATAGCATCATGACCGCGAGGGGCTAGAGGACGAAGAGGATCGATAAAGTCCATCGAGATGGACTGCCAACGACCCTTAGGGATAGGAAGAGGTTGGAGCAAACCATAAGGCAGGTGGTTCGCACTGTTCACCTCGTGACAAGTGAGACACTCTGCGACGTAGTCCTTCACAAAGTCCTTGCGCTTCGGCCAAACGTACAGGCGCCTCACACGAGCCAACGTCTTGTGGAAGCCCATATGACCGACGGCTGCCTGGTCATGGAACTCTGCTACTGCCCGGACACGTAGCTGTCCAGTGGAGGGAACGCAAATACGGGCCTCTCTGGTGCCCTGTGAACCGTGCCAGTACACAAGACTGTTGTCCCTGAGAGAGTAGTTTGGGACGGTCTTGCCACTTCGAAGGGTCGCGTGGATGTCACGATAGTTGGGGCAGTGGCGGTAACACTTCATATGTACGAAGTTCAACTTTTAGACCCATTCATCAAAAACTTTTTTGGTTACTTGTGGCATATTGTTTACTTTTAGGGTGGATTGGATGTCAACCTGTGGAAGCACCCTATGTAACTATTGGACAAATTAACAAAAAACAAAACCACGCATATGCCTACAATGAATCAATTAATTCGTCATGGTAGAGAATCAAAACGACGTACGCAACGTACTCGAGCTTTAAATCAATGTCCTCAAAAGCAGGGAGTATGCCTTCGTGTTTCTACAACAACACCAAAAAAACCCAACTCAGCTTTACGCAAAATAGCTAAAGTGAGATTAACCAATCGAAATGAGGTTATTGTATACATTTCGGGAGTACTGAGGGCGAAACTCGTCGATCACCGAGTGGTGGACGGTGGTGACCGAGATGGAAGCGAGCTGGATCTGCTCCTGGTCGTGGTCAGGGCGCCGGGATAGGGCATCTGCGACCCGATTAGTCTCACCCTTGATGTGCTCAGTGGTGAAACTAAACTCGGATAGGTCACGACACCAACGAGCCTGTCGAGGAGTGAGCTTCGGTTTTGTTAGAAAAGCCTGGACAACGGAGTTGTCCATGCGCACCGTGAATGGTGCCCCATGCAGGTAGTGACGCTAGTGCCGAGCGACATAAACTACTGCGAGAACCTCACGTTCATCAGCGGTGTAGTTTATCTCGGCGGGCAAGAGCTGACGGGAGTAGAAGGCTATCAGACAATCACCTGAGCGAGACTCGACAGTGCCGTCCTCGGCGATGGTAGGAGAATAGTCAATAGAAGGCTCGTCAGTAGCTGGACGAGTAGGTGTCAATAGGGAAGCAGTGGTAGGGGTAGGTGGTGGGAAGCGAGGGATACGAAGATGAGAGGAATCAGGGGAGGAGGGGAAGATCTGAGAAAGCACTGCTCCTACAACAAAGTTTGACGCATCAGTGGTAAGGATAAAAGGGCGATCAAAGTCGGGTAGGTGAAGAACCGGTGCACATGTCACCGCCTTCTTGAGGGCGCGGAAGGCGTCCTCGTGGAGGGGTGTCTAAGCCCAGGGCGGGTTCTTCCGGAGGAGGGTGGAGGTAAGGACGTAGGAATACCTAGCGTATCCCTGGATGAAATTATTGTAGTAGCTGGTAAGGCCTAGGAAGCTGCGAAGCTGCTTGGCGGATGTGGGGACGGGCCACTCTGCAATAGCAGGGATCTTCGCGTCGTCCATGTGGAGACCCTGGTCAGACACGTAGCGTCCTAAGAAATCCACTTTGTGCTGGGCAAAGCGGCACTTGCTCAGCTTGGCGTAGAAGCCATGTCTTCGCAAGCGGTCAAGGACATCGCGGAGGTGTCTGAGATGTTCCTGAAGGGTACGACTGTAGACCATAATATCGTCGAGGTAGACGAGAATGTACTGCTCCAGGATGTCCCTGAAGATGTCGTTCATCGCCCTCTGAAAGGTAGCGGGTGCGTTGGTGAGGCCGAATGGCATCACCGTAAACTCGTAGTGGCCGAGGCGCGACCGGAACGCTGTCTTCGGCTGGTCTACTGCAGCGACACGGATCTGATGGTAACCGCTACGAAGATCAATCTTCGTAAAGAATCAGTTGCCTGCTAGGCGGTCGAACAGCTCGTCGGAACGAGGCATGGGGTAGTTGATCTTAACCGTGTAGCGGTTGAGGCCGCGATAGTCAATGCAGAGACGGAGAGTTTCATCCGCTTTGCGAGCAAAGAGGACGGGTGCAACCCACGGGGAGTTGTTGGGTGTACTAAAACCCAGTCTCAGGAGCTCCTCAAGCTAACGCTTGAGTTTAGTGGCCTCGGGGATCGATAGTCTGTAGGGTGCCTGGTGGTGAACACGATAGTCACGTAGCTGGATGGAGTGCTCGACGTCGCATCGGTGGGATGCCGGCGTAGGAGAACGACGATGGGAAAACGTCGTGGTACTCTCGAATGAGGTCACGAACTGCGGGCTCCAGGTCAGTTGTTTATCGTGCGAGTTCCTCAGCATGAGTGTCAGCGCACGACAGTGGGGTGGACTGGACGGACGGCGAAGGGACGGAAGTAGAGATGGGAGCCATGGAGATAGAAGGAGGATCTGGCTCCAGAGGGATGAGCTCGACGTTGGGACAGGGTGGATCATAGTGTAAGAGATCCGTCACGTTCACCATAAAGAAGGTGACGTCGTCCTGTGGTACGATTGCGCTCATCTGGCGCTTATCTTCTGCCTTATGCGGTACGTACATGCGGTCTGCTAGGCGAGTTTGGTCGTAAGTGGTGTGTAGTGAGGAGGGTGGAGACGAGTGTATAGGCGACCCAGGAGGTGAGGGGATCGCCAAGAAGGCTACGTGAGGTGTATGTGGTCTGGACAGTGTGATGAGAACTATCTAATGTGCGATTGATGCGGAGGTGGAACGACGTTCAATGCTGGTTGTGTCGATGCAGTGACTGGTCATCACAATCGCCATCTGGTCATCTGGTGAGATTATCTGTGTGGTTGGGGGAAGCTATTTGAGGTACGTTGCCCTTAACCTTATCTTCCCTCTCCGACACTTCCTACCGTGAAGTTGTGTATTCCTTCTTGAGAGTCCTCTCACCGTGAGGTGTCGAGTGAGCTCAACCTTGAGAGTCGGCAATGTTCACGTGGAGCATCTGGGTGGAGATGGGCAGAGCTTTCTGAAGGGCCTTGGACGAAGCACTGGGTCACGGTCACCATGCCAACCCACAGGGAGTAGAGCACGCATGCCTTGCTGCTTGTCCTTTGTTCGGCTTGCTGCGCTGTTAGATGGGTACTACTGGGCAGGCCAACCCTACAGGAAAGACGAGCACCCAACGTCTATACATAAACACGGGAAGGGGATATCACTGGCTGTGATCGCCGTCCTGCTGCGACGTAAAATAATTCCTGATGTCACTTGGGGGGGGACGTTAAAATGCCTCTGGATCAGCCAGTGATGTGAGGCTCGCGGCACGCCGAGGATAAACATACGTGCAAGGCTGGCCAGCTCAGTGGATACTCGGGGCACAGGGGTGGGCCGGACACACACCTTTAGACACGTGACGCTCTCCAGATTGCTCAGGGACGCTGACGTCAAGAGATACTCAGGGGGTTGATTCAAGGTGATAAGTTCGAGAAAATTTTATGCTGTCCTATCCACACAAATGATTCTGTTTTTATGTTTTGATTAGTTAGGTGTACAGCCATTGACATCTGACAGACAACATTAGTTAGAACTGTTTTATTGTTCCTGGTGCTTCTGTTTGCGGACTAGTCAGACTAAAAATAGTTTCGTTTGTAGGAATTTGACTTACCTGTTGACCTTAAGTGATATCTATTCCGAAATAGCAACCAATTACTTTGTTGGTTTGTGCACTACGCTGCGGTAGGCATACAATGTGCAATAGTGCAGATTGTTTACAAGTCTGTAGCTTATGAGCGATAGGGAGGAACAGCAACCGGACGACCGAATTTTGTGATCGGCAAGGCGCCTAGTAGCTCATTTGGCATTAGGGCCAGAAGACGACAAATATCTGTTCCGCCAGCTTAGGGAAAGACAGCAACAGTAGAGGAGGGCTAGAGCAGCGGAGGCTAGTAGGACCCTCGTGAGTGAGGCCGCAACTTCGGAAGCCATGTCTACCTCAACGATGCAGACTTCTCAAGCTGGTACTTCAGAGTCTGTAGGGTCAACGGTCGCGCAGACCCAGGTGCAGTCCACTGGCGTAATGGCGAGCCAGCCATTGCTGTTGACTCCTGAGGAGATCGCCATACAGGAGGCAGTCCTCCAGGAGGCACAGCTACAGAATGCTTTAGGAAAGATACAAGCGGAGAAAGAAAAGATGATCAGAAGAAGAGCCAGGATGCAACGTAGACAAGCGGACGTTAGTGAGTTAGAGGAAATGGATCTGACGAATGTGCCTGAAGATGTGAGACTTGTACGGTCGGTCGTGTTGAATGTAGTAGAGATGCAGGACCATCAGACAACCATCCTTCAGGATATCCAGCAAAGTTTGGCCCTGTTGGTTGAGAGAAGGTTAACAACAATCGTATTTTTCATCACCACTTCAGGACACCCTTCACCACTTCAGGATGCAGCCTGCCTAAACAGGTGGTTTTCAGGATCTTCGGACCTTTCACCACTTCAGGACTATTCAGGTCCGAAAATCCTGAATGGTCCTGAAGTGGTGAAAGCTCCGAAAACCCTGAAAACCACCTGTTTAGGCAGGCTGCATCCTCAAGTGGTGAAGGGTGGTTTTCATGGTCTTCGGACCTTTCACCACTTCAAGACCATTCAGGATTTTCAGACTGCTCAAAACTCTCACTTGACCACTTCAGGACACCCTTCACGACTTCAGGATGCAGCCTGCCTAAACAGGTGGTTTTCAGGGTCTTCTAACCTTTCACCACTTCAGGACCATTTAGGATATTCAGACTGCCCAAAACTCTCACTTCAGAATTTTCATTCCTGAATTTTCAGCTACCCGATAACCGCTTGTGTGTTGGTTGGGCGAACGCAGGCCATGTCGCCAATGTCCGGGCCTGGTGCTTGGCCCGTTGCACATCATCCTCCTTTTGTCCCACCGGTGACTGGGGTATCCCCATATGTAGCTCCATCATCGGTTGCTATCATTTCCCTGGGCATGCCGCTATCAGGAATCAGGAGGGGTAACAACAGGGAGTAGTTTGCAGGTTCCTGTTCAGAAAGTGCACACCCAAACTCCGTCGCAGGTTGCAGTCACCACGCAGCCTGCTGTCTCGCAGCCTGTGCAGCCGCAGGGCACACAGCCCCACCCGTTGGCAGAACAACTTGTGTCACAGGTCCACAGCCCGTGGTGATGCAGGGACTGGGACAGACACAGTGGGTCCCAAAGACGGCCATCGCCGCTCCCAAACCTTTCACAGGGGATAAGAGGGGCGAAGACCTCGACACTTGGTTGAGGGCAGTGCCGGTCTACGTCAGGTGTATGAGACATCATATCACAAATCACTTATCATGATTATTGGAGACTTTATCCAGTGCCGAGTTATCTTGTACTTCGACATTTGACGAGTTTCCTCCAGACTGGGTTCATTACATTTTATTTATTTATTCTGAAAATCCGAATTTTCTGCGGCATCTTGAAATCTTCTTCAGGACTTAGCCATTGTGGTGTGGGCGCACGTTTTGACCCCATGAGGCTAACGAAGTGCTGCCAAAATTTTCCAATTTAACTTAGTTTTTTCTCTTGATTGGCATATTTTGACCCTTGGGGGTAACGAAGTAAAATTTCCATTTTAGTTAGTTATTTTCTTGATCGGCTCATTTTGACCCCATGAGGATAGCGAAATTTTCCCTGAATTCGTTTCAGTACTGAATAGAACAGTGGGTCTTTGTTGCTGCATCTGAACTAAAACCTGGGCCAAATATAGCTAAAATGACCGGGCATTCTATATGGGTGAAGACTGTAGGGGATCCGTTTAAAAAGTTCGGCAGGAGTGGGCCTCTCCAGTTCCATGAGGACTATACTGGGCTTGACGTTGTGGGCCCTGTACTCGCCACTCCCTTTTGGCCCCTAACACCCACATAGTCTCCTCCTTTGAGAGTAGGACCACCCCTTAAACCACCAGTACCTYGCTCAGCTATCAAGTCCGAGCCTCGACCGACTGGTACGCCGATCCGTGCCGAGGCTCGGACTACCGGGCGCAGGCATCCCGAACGTCCATGCGAGACAGACGAAAAAAAGGGGAAGAAAACAAAGAAAAAAAACAAAGAAATAAGAAAAATAAATGGTTCATTCCCGCTGCCTGCTGTAGGAAGGCTTCCGAAAGGCAAAGCGGGAATGAATCTTCCCACTTTCGCGGGAAGATTCATTCGCGCTTTGCGATTTGAAAGTCGCAGAGAGAGAGAGAGAGAGAGAGAGAGAGAGGCGGCGACCTGCGCGGCTCATCCTAGCCGCGACGAGAGAGAGAGAGGCGGCGACCTGCGCGGCTCAT